AAGAATTTCATGATATAGATCCTCCTAGAAGCTCTGCTAAGGCATGTAAAGGACAGGGAGTTGATCTGACTGMTAGCAGAGCTTTACCAAGGGCAAGTCCTGCCTGATCAGCCTATGGCCTTCTGTGATGGAAGTGACTGCATCCGTGGACAAGGGAAGGGCTACAGATGGTTTTTATCTGGAATTCTGTAGAGCCTTTGACTCGGTCCCCCACAACATCCTTCTAAGTTGGAGAGAGATGGATTTGATGAGTGGACTCTTAGATAGATAAGAAATTGGTGGAACAGTTACATCCAGAGGGTCTGGTCAATGGCTCAGAATCCTAATGAACCTCAATGACAAATGCTGTCCCTCAGGGATCTGTACCGAGACCAGTTTTATTTAGCACTTTCATTAAGGAAAGAATATAGATGAARGAATCGAGTGCAGCCTCAGCAGATTTGCAGATGACACCAAAGAGGGTGGTGTGGCTGACACACCTGAAATATGGGATGCTATCCAGAGGGACCTGGGCAAGCTCAAGCAGTGAGTGCCTGGGAATCTCATGAGGTTTAACAAGACCAAGTGCAAGGTGCTGCACCTGGGTCGGGGCAATCGCTGGTATCAGCACAGGCTGGGGATGAACAGATCAGAGCAGCCYTGACAAGAAGGGCCTGGGGGTGCTGGTGGGTGTGAGGCTGGACAGGAACACTTGGAGCCCAGAGAGTTAAACATGTCCTSGGCTGTATCCAAAGCAGGGTGGACAGCAGGATGAGGGAGGTGATTCTGCCCTTCTACTTCCCGCTGTTGAGACCCCACCTGCAGTGCTGCATCCAGCTCTGGGGCCCTCAGCACAGGAAGGACATGGACCTATTGGAGTGAGTCCAGAGGAGGGTCTCCAAGATGTTTAGAGGGATGGAGCACCTCTCCCATGAGGAATGGCTGAGAGAATTGGGTTTTATCCAGCCTGGAGAAGAGGGATGACCTAATTGTTGCCTTCCAGTACCTGGAGGGAACCTAATAGAAAGATATAGAGAGACTTTTTCAAGGGCATATACTGGTAAGACAAAGGGGAATTGCTTCAAACCAGAAGATTTAGATTAGCTGTTAGAAGAAAATTCTTTACTGTGAGGATGGTGACGCACTGGAGCAGGTTGCYCAGAGAAGCGGTGGGTGCCCCATCCCTGAAAGTGTTCAAGGCCAGGCTAAATGAGGCTTTGAGTAAACTAGTCTAGTGAAAGGTATTCCTGCCTATAGGTTGAAACAAGATGATCTTTAGGGTCCCTTCCACCCCAAAACATTCTGTGACACTGAACTAACTGTGCTAACTATMCTACCTGTCTCCCTTGCCCTTCATCTCAAGTTGTCATTCATATCTGCAGGCATCAACTAAGAAGCCCAAAGTCATAAAAACCTGAAATGAAAAGGTATAGCAACAGAACATGAAGTTCCCGGAATATCAAAAGTTGGAGCAAATTGAATGATTTACCCAAGACTGCCAAATAATTGCATGTTCGTGCTAGGRAAAATTGGCCATTGATGACTAATTAGTGGTTTGTTTATGTGGACTCTGAAAAAAATGTTGCTGACTTTCTTCTTTGACAATGAGTTCATAAGAGGAGTCATCTGATAATGACAAAAGTAAAGTTATTTGTAATTTACAGAACACTTTTATGGTTTCCTTCAACTGAAACAGATATACAGACTAATAATTATTGTACTCAAGAGGTTCACATTAGAAAAATCCACTTGCAAGTTACACACTGAATGGATTGTGTATAGAATTAAATTACTTTAATTTAGTAAGTCAATTTAACTCCTCTTCTTCACAAAACAAAGTGTTATGTCTGTTTTACTCCAATTCATCATAATTTCTGAAACATTACCAGCAATAATTCACAAATTGCTGTAGCTAAATCCCCTGGAGTGCACATAGTCTTTCAAAATACCCATTTGCTTTTGCTGATCTATTTTCCTCTATGCCCCCATCCTACTGCTAAAAATAATTTTGTTAGATGCTGGTTCACAATTCGGGTTCTAAAGAGTGGAATAAAAAATAACAACAAATATTTCATCTATCTTTATATAAATATAGAAATATTTATATACCACATAAACAGACATTATATAAATATATTATAAAAACATATATATTTSAGTTTGTGCCACTTATGTACTTATCTTTCTTTTCCTTTACTTACCTTGTGTTAATAGAAATACCTTTCATTGCTTTTAGTGGCTCTTTCTACTTGATACTGCTCCAGAATCAGAATGGTCTGGGTTGGAAGGGACCCTTAAAGGGCATCTAGTCCAACTCTCTTGCAAAAGGCAGGGGCAACTTCAACTAGACCAGGTTGCTCAGAGCCCCATCAAACSTGACCCTGAATGTGCCCAGGGATGGGACATCTACCACCGCTCCAGGCAACCTGRGCTAGTGTTTCACCACCCTCGTCAAAAAAAAAAATCATCCTTGTGTGTAGTGTGACTCTTCCTTCTTTTAGTTTGAAACCATTGCTCCTCACGTTTATACAAGTCCTATTAAAAAGTCTGTCCCCATGTTTCCTGTAAGTCCCCTTTATGTACTGAAAGACTGTAACAAGGTTTTCCCAGAGCCTTCTCTTCTCCAGGCTGAACAACTCCAACTTTCCCATCCTTTCCTCATAGGATAGGTGCCCCATCCCATTTATAATTTCTGTGATCCTCCTCTGGACCTACTCCAAGAGGTCCATCTTTTATATCATAATTCTGCCAATTGAACTCAAATATCTTCGTGCCATTTCTTCATACTCAGTGGTGCACCCCAATTCCTACTTCTGTTTTTTTTTTTTTTCTCTCAAACTTGCTCTAAGGATATTATCCCATTTCTGCCTATTTTATGTTATTTGACCAGTCCCTGGTCTCTTCTGCTGGGCATCGCTTTCCTTCCTCCTTATCTGACCTTATTCTTCCAGGCTTTGTGAAACAGGATCAAACAAGCTGACAAACCTGCAAGTGTTGAAGGAAGCTCAGTGTGGCAGTTTAGGGGCCGGTGTTTGTGTAGGTAGTGACCTGAAACAAATCCTAAACTGAAATGACCCCGGGTTTCTGATTCCAAGATATGCAGGACAGTTCAAGTCCTGCAATGACAGCCGAGTGACTCAGGCCTRTCTGCACTGTATGACAGGTGCAAGGACAGATTAAATAGCAAGAGACCATCACACGCAGCCACACAACCATGCTATACACCCTGTTAATGGAAATGGGTGCTTTGTGGATGAGACAAGCTGGGTGCACAACTGTTGCAAAAAAAAGCAAGCAAGTCCTTTAGTGTAGTCCCATTTGTCTCTGCCAAAAAAATATGTAGGCCTAGTTGCAGACAGATTTCTTACAATGCAAATTGTAGCAGTGTTCACTGAGACTGAAAAGACCCACCTGGGCTCCACGCTACTACTTGGTGTGAGGTGAAGAGGCTGCTGCTGTCTGTGGCACGGGTTGCTTCCTGTGCCATTGCCAGCCGGCAGCAGTTAACACCTGAGCTGCCCCATGGTTCATGGTGCTGGGGCAAGTCGTGTTTGTCAGCAGTTAAGGCACAAAGGAGTTGGGAAAGAGAAGAACTGTTGTTGAACTCTCCAGTGAGTAATAAAGTTGGCTTGTTTAAACCATGAAAAAGTGATGCTTTCTGAAGCTCAGGGATTCTTGGCTTTATTTTTAATCCAGGAGCAAGAAAATTATTTGGAGCCCATGTACATGGAGAAAGTCTTCTAATTTATTGCCAAAACTTAGGCTTAAATGGGTATAATATAAAAGATGTGGGCATATAGGAGAGAGAAATATTGCCTGAAAATGACTGCAGACTCGTGATACTGAAGGTGTTGCAAAAACTATGCTCAAAAAAAGAGTCACACAGCTGCACTATATCCATATTAAAACTGTCTAAAAGAAATGCCTGTGTGTTCCCGTTTACAACTGCTTTCAGCTTTATGATTGTCTGTACCCCAGATGTTTATTGTAGAGCAACATCTTTTCATTTTTCTCCTCCCTCTATCCAGACATGACCAGTAAGTAATGGGGCGCTATTTGTCTTTTCTCTTCTATACTCTGCATCATGTTTCCTTCAGTTTCCACTTTTTCTCACAGCTTGTAAAGTATTGCATCACATGTTCTTAATAACACAGTGGGCTCTTCCACATCCGTGTTTAAACCTGCCACTGCAGTCCTTTGCTACCACGTTTGTTGAAAAAAATTCTCCAGTTTTACTCCCTGGCTGGTGCAAAGCTATATTTAGGGTACCTGGTGCTGGCAGAAAGGTGAATTGCCTCGATTTCCATTTGGCTACTGAGTCTGTCCTTAGCCAGGCACGAGTGGTCAAAGGACATGAAGGTGGCCCAGAGCCCACCCACTGAGGGCTCTGTAATGTAATGTTGTATCAATTGGACTTTTTGCTGCCTCCTTCACATTCTGCATTCTGGCAAGACTTTTAAACTAAGCAGAAATCATTTTTACAATCATGTTCTCTGTACATAAACATAATTTGATAAAAACGTTTTGAGTTCTTAGAGGAAAAGAARTATTTTCAAAAAACACTGCAACTGTAGAGTACATCTGGTTTTCCTCATACTGAAATTCATCATGACTCACTGGGTAACATTGAAAGAAACTCAGTGCTGCCGCACTATGCCAGAATTATAAAGACAGTTCCGACTTTTCTAAAGTGTCAACAGCTTTTGAATTACTATTTGGCTTCATCGACAGGAGCTGGATGCTGGCTGGACTCTGAGCTGGTAGATATGATGATAAGTTTCAGATTTTAGGCATTTTTAGAGAGTAACTAAGTGTGCCAATCATCCTGTGCAGGTAAACCCTGACATGTAAAAGTCACCAAATTACTATATAGAAATGCTATGAAATCAAACTCAGGCCTGGAGCTCTGTATTAAAAAGGTGGGATGGGTTAAGTAGGTTATCAACCTGCATCAGCAAAGATTCTGTGCACTGCCCTTGTCTGCAGTTGGACGGGATGTGTGATGGCTACGAAGCCTTTGAGAAACAGGATGTTGTTAGAGGAGAGTTAATGGCCCCCAAATAACAATATTTTGGGAAATTTGTACATAACTTCAGTGATTGATTTCTACTGTACATGTCAGCACTGCTAACATTGTCATATTTCTTCTAGGAGAAGGCTATGGCTATCTCCTGGAGGAAACTTCAAACTGAAGCACAGGTGTCTGTGACTGCACAGGGGTTCTTTTAGCAGCTTTTCTCCGGCTGAGCTTGACACAAGAGCTGTAACTGTTGTGACACCCACAGTGGAGAGGGTGAGTCTCTTAAACCCCAAAGGAGCTGCTTGAGGCTGAGGAGAACAGAGTGCTAGACTTGAGCAGCCTTTCACACAAGTTATGCTGGACAGTTGAGTTAAAAGTTTTGAGGGAAATAAAGTTATCTTGGCCTGTTGTTTCATGACTGAGAGTTTCTGAGCCCCCAAGGATAGTTCCAAAAAACCAGGGCTGATGTTCTGTTTGAAAGAAAAAGTAAAGCAATGAATAACACATCYCAATTCTCATTTGTATGTGTTTGCTGTGAATTCTATTGAACTATGCTGGTTGAAGCTAAAACATGAAATTCTTYGTAGGATTGATTGCTTATTTCAGCCAGGCAATTCTTTCCTGGCCTAAAGGGAGTGATTTTCTTTTCAGTTTCTACAGGAATAAAGCCTATCACTATTTTTTTTAAAAGCATGTATTACAAAACTTATTTGACAGTAACATCCTCAAATACTAAAGCTGACAGAAATTGTACTGTAGCACGGTCATGTTTTTGTAAGGGTTTTCTTGGAAGAAATTGTGTATTCCTCAATGGGACAGAAGATGATGACAAAAATGAAAATTAGGATACCAAAGAGGAAAAAACAGCAAGGCGTGTCTTTGGATATGTCTTCTTTTGAATCATAGTAACCGAAGCTGTACAAAGAATACATAAATTGCTAACCTCACAAAAGTATATCCCACAGCCCTGAATTTTCTGAGGAGAGATTGAAAGGAATACAGTCTTGCTGTTCTGCATCATTAGGTGAAACCTCCATCCCCTTCAGACTAGGCACAGTTTGCCCTGCTTTTCTCCAGTGCTGAGCATTTTTGCCCATTTTTGCCCAATATATCATAAGGTAATAAAAAACTRAATGGGATATTTCATTGTTGAGTATTTCATCACTGTGAGCTGGGTCCAGGCTTGTCCTGCTTGAACTGAGTGCTAACCCATTGTCAGCAATGGTTTTTGTGTCTTAAATAGGTATAGCAYAGTATAATATAGTATAGTATAGCAATGGTTTCTATGGGTTTCGCATTATACCAGATTCTTCTGGTGAAAACTTACATTCATATTCAGTGAAGATGAAAAGGAAAGATACAAATGCATAAGCAGTAAATGAGTGTGTTTGGGAGTTGGTGGCAAATAAGGAATATGTAATAGCACATCCTGTAGAACWGAGACCATGGAGATACACTGTACTAGAGTTTTACCATGTCCTTCCAACAGAAGAAGACAGCTTGCTTTCAGGATTGTGCTTACAAGTAACTGTAAGAGAAAATGCTACAATTTTCTTTTTTTTTCAACATGCTGAATTAAGTCCATATTACATGGTATCTTGTATATAAGGGAGAATTTAAGAAATGGAAATTTAAAATCAACAGTTTTGTGCACCTTACATCCTCTAAGGAAGTCTGTGTGGACTGCTGGTTTACCAGAGACATCTTTTCCATCGTAGACAAACCTGATCACTGCTTTTCTTCCTCATCTGGAAACYGGAGATGGTATTTCTTCACATTTTGGGTACCTCAAAGCTAAAACAACAAATGTTTGTAATCTGCTTTCTGATTCTGGATCACATAATTTTCTGGTACTTTTCTGTTACATACTAGGTCTTATGTGAATCATTATTTCCCAGACAGGCTTTTATCTTCTATCAGAGACTGTAAGAAATTTAGGGCTAGGAAAAGGCAGCTTACTGAAAAGGGTACTATGTTTTTAAGTTGTATCCCTTCTAAAGATTTCCTTGTGTTTTATCTTCAGGTTATTAACATCCTGCAGCAAGTCATCACTTCAGCCTAAAGGTTTGTGGAAGAAATAAACTCTACACAAAAACTGAATGTAATTAAGTCCTTTAGGACCCTGATGAGTGATACAGAGGGAGAAGTAGAAGATGGTGAATTTCACAGAGAATGCGACTGACAAGTGCAACATTAATCATGATATCCATGAGGCATTATCCCCTGTGGTGTACATATTTGTGTTTATATTAGGCTTGCCAGCTAACTGCCTGTCACTGTACTATGGGTATTTACAGATCAAAGCTAAAAACGAATTGGGTATCTACCTTTGCAATTTGACTATAGCAGACCTGCTGTACATATTTTCTTTACCTTTTTGGCTTCAGTATGCTTTACAGCATGACAACTGGACCTATGACGAGCTGCTGTGCAARATTTGTGGCATCATCCTGTATGAGAATATCTACATCAGTGTGGGCTTTCTGTGCTGCATCTCCCTGGACCGCTACCTGGCCGTAGTGCACCCTTTTCGCTTTCAGCAGTTTCGGACCATGAAGGCTGCTGCCATCGTGAGCATTGTTATTTGGGCCAAAGAAATAATGACCTGCTGCTTTATCTTTACACACGGGGAGATCAGTATGGATGCTGAGAGCCACTTGGTGTGCTTTGAGCACTATCCCATCAAGAAATGGGAGCACCATGTCAATTATTACCGCTTCTCTGCTGGCTTCCTTTTCCCCCTCTTTCTGCTGGCCTTCTCCTACTGTGGGATTCTACGAGTTGTCCACAAGAGTCCTGGCACTCAAAAGAAGAAGAAAATACAAATTAAAACACTGGTTTCAAGCACTGTTTTCATATTTTTAGTTTGCTTTGGACCATATCACATCCTACTTGTAATTCGTAGCTTATTGGAAAACAACTGCTCATTTGCTGAGAAAATATTTAATGTTTATCATATTTCTCTCCTGTTAACTACTTTTAACTGTGTTGCTGACCCAATATTGTACTGTTTTTCCAGTGAAAGCACTTACCAGAATTTTGTCAAGATGAGAGACTCTTGTCTAACATGTTTAGGGCGTCTGAGTCCTGAGACAAAGGAATCCTATCCACTGAATGCTACGGAAACTCCCAACAGAACACAGCATGAGCAACAGCCGGGGTTATTACAAATGCCATTTGATGGTGCTGGAATGAAGGACTGCTCCACAACTAATGCAGACAGTCTATAGCATCAGTCAAAAAAGGACATTAATCTTAAATCTGCAGCTATGGCCRTGTTTGTGTATCTGTCTGAATTTTCATGTATTACAACAGTGTGACATCCCAAAGGCTTATGAGCAATGCTGTACAGTGAAGTTGTTTCCTGAGATGCTTGGACCCTGGCAATAGTGAGGAAAGAATGCACTAAGACAGTTCAGTTATAATCATGTATCTGTTGTTGTGCTACCACTTAAAACCACTGTTGTCTTGATGACTGCATTGACTGTAATAAGTCACTATTCATGATGTGTAGTTGTGGTGAATTCATCTTTAACTGCTGTTTGCCTCTGTAGCATCTAGAGAAAATAATTCTCTACAACCATCATGTATTGAAAAAGTCAGAGATAGAAAAAATATATATACTTTTAAATAGATTTTTTTTATTCTACTATTTATATATACTACTATTTATTCTACTATTACATATGCTTCTAAAAAGAAAAAAAAAAACCTCAGTTAAATACTTCTGAAACATCTCTGTGAGTCTCTGAAATAACTTCTCCTTCTGCCAGTTTCAAAGCCTGCAGAGACCATGCCAGAACCAGACTCCTAAAACAATCAGTCCAATAGTGCAAGATGTTACAGGAGAACATGCACAMGGAATCCAGCACCTGCTGAGACCTTCAGGCTCTTATGTGCTGTTGAATCTCAGACCGTTAAACTTCATCATAAGGCTTCCAGAAGTACTAGACTAAGCTCCAATGGTTGTCAATAAGTTGGTTTGGTGACTTTAAAGAGAATAAGAGRTTGGTAGTACGTGAGGCACTTTGATCCCATGGGCTTCTCTGAATCACTCTGCTCAAGGACATTCATTTACATCTAAATTCTATTATACCTTGTTAAGGTTTTGATTGTGTCCTTTGCAATTTGTGGATCTTGTGCAGTACCAACCCTGCAGGCAATTAAATGCATGCTTTTGTCAAGGAAACTGTTGAACGAATTCTGTTTAAACTCTGTGTTTGCCCGCAGATAATATAGCTTAGGGTTTGGTCATTGTTCAGTAAATACAGTATCAGAAATACAATCTATGAGTGATCTGTGTGCTGGTTTAGAAAGAAACAAAACACAGGAGTAAGTGGAGAATAATGGCTTTTAATGATGTGGGAATTGTGCTCTATAGTATTGTTCCTACCACCACCTCCTCTCTAGGTTTTTAAGGGTTTCTTTATTACACTAATGAATCCTGTATGATTCTTTTTTTGTGATCTGCTCATCATACCTTGTATCTGTAGTTGTTATACCATGAATATTGCTTTGGCCTTTCACTCCTTTGGTTTCAGACCTTCCTTGAAACACCTCTCTCTCTGCAACCTGGAGCTGACGATTTACAGCAGTATAATCAGTTTTGTTTCTTTGATTTGCTTTTAAGTCAAAAGATTGCTTAGACAGATGGTCTGCTCCTGCTATCTGAAGTATGTCATTGTAACACAGCCTTGCTTGTCATCAGATTCCAAAAGGAATATATTCCAACAGTTTTCTGGAAACCAGAAACTGGAAACACTTGAGAGTGCAATATTGGATATAATTAGTGGATGTGTTTAATAAAGAATATTTTTATAATTTTCTTTCTATATTTTTTTCACTCTATGTTTGAAATAGCTGTATTTTARCTTTGGCCCACAATTTCTATTTGTGAGACTACAGATCCTCTCCTCCCTCCTCTTGCAGGAAGGATTCATGTCTCCGGTCCCAAGAGGGGATTAGGTTTGCTTAGGTTAACATTTGGTTTGTTTAATATTTTTACRTTTCTTTATACTTCGACCACTCAGCTGGATTAATTACCTTACATCTGCATTTTTTTCTCCTGACTATTAGCACTGTTTAGCTTTATTTTCTCCTAATCTTTCATCTCATCTGCTGTCTATTTCAAGGGGGTCATGAGGCAGGGACTCCCTGTACTGCTGAACTGTACATGGTTAAGCACAGAGCCAGCTCCCTGGACTCCCATGACCTGTCAGGCTGCAAGACACACACGTGGTTTGTTCTAGGATGAAGTATTTGATGTCATGTTTATGCGTTGCTTCTTCACAGTTACCCATGTTGTTTAAATTAGACAATTGGAATGCAGAGCATGCTGTACTACATGGAATTGTCATCTGAGGGATTAAGGCTTATTCGAGTTGATACTTTGATGTGGTCAGCTTTGGTCAGCTGCTGCAGCTTAAAATCAGATGGAAACTTGTGTAACACAGCCCAGCATTCTGCCACGGTTCTCAGCACTTAACCTGCTAACCCACAAGAGAAGGGAGGGATTCTTTTTCTTCTTTTTCCTTTTTGTTTCTTGAAGCCAGTATTTTATTAATTCTTTCTCTATTGTAACTGTTCAACTTAGGCTGCAGAACTGTAACCAATGTAGCAGGAAGGTAACTCCCACTCAGAGTTTTCCCTTCTATCTCAGTCAAAGCACAGTCACTCAAGGGTCCTGCTAATGTTGCAAGAGACGTTCTACATATGCTACTGCACTACTGCATAGTGCTTGGGACTGCACATGACAAGTGATTTTAAAAGCATGCAGTGGAGAAAAAGGAATAAATCATTATGTATTTCTTAAAAGAAATCTGACTGTAAAGACTTGTATTTTGGGTGGAAAAAGRAGCAAAAGCTTACTCAACTGAATTTTTTGGACAAAAGTTAGTGCTTGGGAAGAATAATATACATTGCACCTACGAGTGTAATATGTTAGTAGCACAGACTGGATAAAATCRGCTGCTTCTTTGAAAATAATGGCCATTTCAGTTTGAGGGTTCTGTGCAGCTGTGAACACATGCCATCATGCAGGGCTACTGGCTTTGGTAAAAAGTTCAARCATTCATGTGAAATATTTTACTTAACATTTATAGTTTGGAGAGTTTGGAGACTTCTAAAGGAGATATTTTCTAATTGTGAAACTTCAAAGAACTTTTCTAGAACATCCTTCAAGAAGGTTTTACATAAAATGAATAAAAAAAAATGACTGATCTATAAGAGAAACATTGGGACCTTTGGTGAATCTGAACGTCTAGTAGCAAGTCTGTCTGGCATTACAATTTCTTTCTGCCATGTGTTCAACTGTTTTATGTTTTAAAGGCTCTGTATCCTCAGGGACTTTAGCAGATTATTGTTCAAAATATGGTGGTGTTTGTGGTATGAAATTATTTTTCTCATTCTTAAAAAGCGAAGCTTTTATCTTGCATCGAAGAGGAAAAATAAAGCTCACCTGCCCGGAAGGAAAAGAGATACAAGGTGTTGCTGGCTGYTGGAAGTCCAATTAAATGTAACTTCCAATTTACAACAGGTAAAGCATCAGTGTTCGAGAGGTGCAGTGTCAAATACCCCTGTCCTCTCTGCTGTGATGGCTGACAGCCAGCAGAACTTCAGTCCTGACATTCACCTGGAGTTAAGGTAAAATCACAGCTTTAAATGATGAGAGGCACAATTCACAGCCATTTGTTGTGTACTGCTTTAGTGTAAGTAATCCTATGGGATACAATTTAACATCACTTCTCTTGGGCTCACTGGGAGCTGAATTTCTATAATAGGAATTAATAKAAATGTTAATTCACATAATGTTATTCATACTGAATGCAAATGTTCATTCAATTCTAATCGTTCTTTCATTTATAATAATTAATTTTAGTCATTATTAATGTATTTAATTAATTTATTCCTAACAACAGAATACTCTGAAAAGTTTACAACATTTCTCTATTACCCCRAAAGTGGCAAAATACTAATAAGACAGAGGTCAGTGGCATAGCCTACCCTTCACCTGGAAGGTCTGCAACACTGCCCTAATTTTCATTAGCTCAGTTGAAATTTTCTGTCCTCACAGTTTTAGAGGGGCTACAGGAAATGGGCAATGGAGCTCTCACTACTGTAACACTTAGTTTTGTTTTGAGCTTCCCCTCTCTACTGTAGCTGTTTTCCTCACCACAAGTATTTTTAAATCCAAGTTGCTATGAGAGTTACTTCCTGTTGCAGATATGAGGTTAGTAAAACAAGAACAGCAGTGCAATAATATTTCATTGTAATTGCATGCTTTCTTTGTAAAAGCCAGATCACCTCTTATTATATAATATCATTTAATATTCATGCTCCACTATAAAATTACAGACAGGTAGACCAAGTCATTGTGATGATATATCCTCTTCTTGCTTCACAGAGATGTTGTAAGRGTAACAATGAAAGGCTGTATGTGGTCAAGACACCAGAGATCAAAAGCCATCTTTTTCTGATCTTYTACACTTTGTGAGAGTCTCGAGAATAAGGAAATGACATGGGACAACTCTTGATGCAGAAATCATGAAGGGTAATCAGTGCTGTGCTTCTTGCAGCAGCTTTTCAATCATAAGCGAATGGGTGTTGTAGAAGGGCAGCCCATCCACTTCCATCTCTAGACTGGCAGTTTTGCCACTGCGGACCCCGAGCTGCACAAGTGTTTTCAGAAGCTTTTCTTCCTTAAAAAAACAAAGAAACAGAGTGWAATTACAATTCTGAATCAGACAAGAGCAGTCATCAAGATCTTTATTTTAATTCTGGGAGAGACTGACCATATCCTCCATATTTATTTTGCCATCAACTTGCAAATACTATCTTGTCCCAAAGAATATCTTTTGCATTTGGAACACAGAGTGTCAGAAGGCTTATATTCTTGACTGCTATTTAATTACTTATTATTATTAGAGTATGTTTTCCATACTCTCTCAAACAGAACATTAGTGTCAATTAAGAAACATGAATAATTTTTTGCCTTGTTTCAAGTTCCTTCATTGCACAAACCAGAATCAGAGGAACCTCCACCCAAAGTATCTCAAAAATCCATCTGTGGTTTCCCCAGCAAGGCAGCTGGCTGCGGCTGCCTTTTTAAAGAAAAAGAACAGACAGGAAAGAGGATGCAACAGGAAAAAAGGTTACAGAGAGCACCTGGATGGACTGCACACTCACTTTCCTGCAGCTTCTCTGATCTCTCTATGCCTTCTGCCCACTCTCATCTTTTTACTATTGATTTTATGAGATTTCTGGCTGCTTAGGGAAGGAGCAAGCAGAAAAAACCCTCAGACAGTGTGCTTCCTTGGCATGCTCTGAAATCGTGTATACTTTGTTTAGAACTACATTTATTTTCTTGCTTAACTAATATAAGCAGATAACAAAGCGTGTTCCAAGCTCAGCTGTAAACGTACACAGAGGGAACAAAATCCTTGCATGTGAGCTTTGGGCCAGTTAGCACTGTGGGATGAAAGGATGGGATAAAATAAGCTCTGAAAAAACCACTAGGAACAGTGAAATTTGAAGACCTGCCTTCAAGTGGCTGTATGTCTGATATAAACTGCTCTGCTTTTCATTTGTCATGAAATGCACATGGTAAAACTCTATTTTCTTTTAGCACTTRCTATAGCAAGAATTTATTTCTTGAAATCTGTTAATAAAAATCTAAGAAAACTAAAAACCTAGTCACTTCTTAGCTTCCCCAATGCCAAACCCCATGATAAGTTAAATAAGACTGTGAAACACTCACCTACCTATCTTTCCTTTCTTTGCTAGGAATGCCCTTTCTGGCCTTTGTCTACTGTGCTATTTCCATTTGCATGGAAATTGCTACTGGAACAGTCCTCCCTAGTGTGCTTGACAAAGATTTCTCTAGAATTTAACACTTTTTTTTTTTATATTCACACACAATAACCTCTTGCAAAGTTCTTTATCTCCTGGACASAAATGAACAATGAAAAAAAATTATAAAGGTGAAATACCTAATTTTCTCTTATCAAATGTTAGGATTTTTCTAGGAAGACTTCCAAACTACAAAGAATACAATAGCTGTAGATCTGAATTTAGAATACAATATAGTTGTACTTCACGTAATACAGTATATGGCCAAAATATAATCACTTCGGAAAGAAGCAAAGAGTGCCCTGCATGATCAATTAGCAGAGAATTCAGTTTAATTTTGTAACCTGCTTTCTGAATGTACTTTCTAAAGATTTGCCTTTTATTTCCTGGTAAAACATCCTAGTTCTTAACTGCAACAAAATTACATGAGGCTCTGGTTTTCTACTAAAGGAAAAAATATGCATAGCTCCATGGTATCAGTCTTGACATCAGGTAACAAGACAGAAGTGACACACATCTAGTTAAGGACATTATCTGGGTACTTCAGTAACATAAAATTTGCTACTTTGCAATTTATAAAATTATAAATATGCATCAGTTTATATCACATGAATGATCATATATATGAATGCAAATATATACAAYTTTCTGCATGACGGAGGTTTCTCATAGCACTGAGTGTATCTATATGCAAAAGGGCAAAATAAATTTCTCACRTCACAAAAGAGACACCTAAATTGGATACAGAAAATGTTATTTCTAATATGAATTGTTTCTGCTACATATTTACATGTTAGGCCTCTCTTATCTGCTTATACGAGGTAAAGTAAGTTTACTTGCTTAATACTACATAACCATACCTGATAAACCATAGTCTGTCATTAAATGCTATTGTTTCCATTTGTAAGAAGCAAATACAATGTATAGCACACTTTCTTGGCTGTACAGTGCTGCAGTTTGACCACAGTTCTCTCTTTGGTAAACTATTATGTTGGAAGTGGGGTAGATTATGTTGGAAGTGGGGTAACCAGAAAAATAATCAAATTAATAGAAAAATACCTTGTTAATTTGTGCTTCATTCAAGTGGAAAGATGTCCTTATGAATGGCAAAGCTAATAAAGCATACTAAAAATAAGTCACACCTTTATATATTTRTAATATAATTCATATTCTTATAATTGTAATTTTTTAAAAAATACTATATAGTTAATATGTTAGCATTAATAAGGAGTTCAGTAAAAGAAAAAATGCTTGATATATTAACCTGGTTGTGACATGCAATGAAGTGCCGTGTTCACTGCACCTATCAGAGTTGACTGTTTACCATTAGCTACATTTGGATATTTAATAATTAATTAATTKATTACAGTCACTTTTGATATAAAAGTACTACAAATATCTGAAAGACCAAGCCAATACCAATGTAATATTATTAGGTAAGCAAAAGTAAAGGTAAGCAAAGATTRTTTAGGTCCAGTTGTTTCTTGCTCCTCCAGTTCTTCACCATGGAACAAATGCTTTGCAGTGCCTCTCACTAAGATGTGGTGTWTAAAGGTTAATCCATGAATTTAGAACAATCTAAGTTTGCTGATCAGTGGGAAGGGAGTTCTGGGTTTGGGCAGTGCAGTCCTGACAGTGCTCAAACATGAGATTGCAGAGAAGAAATATTGGTGTTTCAAGGGAAGCCTTCACTTAGTAATTATGATCTACAGCATTCATGGAAGGAGTGCCATTTTTTGAAGAAAAATAAAGCACATTATAAGAAAGCTGTCTGGCACTTAGGCACTCCTTCAAATGTCCTCTTTCCAGTTACAAACACAAATATAAACACTGAGATGGATCTGTGTGGTTGTGCTCTTTATCCCACAAGGGTAATTATTATAGCATTAAGCAAAGCTGATTTTTGCAGAAAGTAGCCATATAAACATAAAYGGTCTGATTTTTTTATATTAATGGAGTATGTGAACACTAATGTATTCAATCTTTTGCACTGTTCACTGTTGTGTGATTTATAATTAAAGATATCACATTTTCTTGTCAGACATTTTGTCATTTTCTCTCCTCCACAAAACTGCTTCATTAAGTTTATCTCAATAGATTTTAGTATTGCACTTTCAGTAGCCCATTATTGGATCATTGATATTCCCAGCTGTACAGCTTAGTAAAACAAAAACAAGAAGGATTTCCTGTACACAATATGACATTTAATTACAGTATCTCATTACCAGGAATTTTGATGATAGTAATTTTAGGATGCATTAATTTAAAGGTCAAAAGCCAGGAGATGCAACTGGAAAAAACATTGACAACTGAAAAGYAATGAATCTACTTTATAAAAAGACTGCTCTGAAAGGGCCATATAAGCTTTAAACTACATGGCTATGCCAAATGCTGGGATCAGTTTCAGTTTTATGACCTTTAGATGAAAAATGGACATAGCAAAAACTAAAAAAATAAGTGAGACCTACATTAAAATACTTAATAAGAGCTCTGCTGGAATTTCATTCAGAATGTACGGTCATCTCAAGACAAATACTTCATTGTTTTGGGCAGTATCTGTGGCAGATGGATTGCATTTTGTTTAGAATTCTTGGAGGTCAGAAATGTAATGTTTTGTCCAAACCTCTATAGAGGTACTCTGCCAATAAAGCTGAATTTTGAAGTTCCTAAGTTATTGCAAATATGTGGAACAAACTTCGTTTAATCATTAAGTGTGTGTATGTGTATATATAGACAGATTTTTTTTTTTTAACCACTGCCAAGTTAAAAATAGAGGCACGTGCTTAGCAGGATGAGCACAGATCACAGTCATTTCTCACCCCTCCCAGTTATTTTACTTTTTCGCAGTCTGAAACCTTTGCATTCCCAGAATATCACACTGTACAGAGCTGCATTAGTCAAAACACACTTTAAAATATTCATGTGCAAGTTTTTCTCCAACTTCAATTTAGAAACATTCAAAACTAATTGCAGAAACGTTCCAGCAAAATAGAAAAGATGGAAAGATCAGAAGTAAGGGACAAAGATCAGAAGTATGGAGCGGCTACTGCGTAAGAACTGTGACTTGATTTTGGAAGCAGACATCCAAAGGACACTACTATAACAGAGAGTTATAAAATCATGAACGATGCTAAGGAAGGAAACTGGGAATTTTTATCACTTGATCTGAATACAAGGATTTCTCACATTGCCCATAAAATTGTAGCAATGTCTTCTGCTAGAAGTTACAAGACATGAATATATTCATCTTTGAGAATTTTTATTTGGCATCTCTCTAGAATCCTTTGTGGAGCAGCCTAAATACAGCGTGGCTGCTCCTTCACAAGGGATTCCCACAAGTGCCCAAAGATCTTGTGAAGGTAAGGTATTGAAGTGGACTAGGCAGGATTTAGCAGCTGGTGGCCACTTCCATGTCCTACCATGAGCAGGTGACAGCTCTCAGCAYGCAGGAATTACCTTGGTGACAGACGGAAGTGCCCAACAGAGCCTCTTGCTGGGTGCCCCTGGGAACCCGACAGCTCTGCGCAGGTAGCGATCGTGGATCTCACAGCAGCGCAGAACATACAGAGCACAGGCTATGGCGTAGCCACCCCAGTTAGAGACCCCTGCAAAGAGTGTCACTGTGAAACCAAACTGAAAAAAATGGCTGGTTCGTGTCCAGAGTATGTCAGAGATAGCTGGGTTAGGAACAGAGGAACCTGAGCCCAAGAACAATATGAACCATCCAGCTCATAATTTGGTCCTTGCTGAACACATCTCTCTCACTGTGGATTTTATTCCATGATGATGCAGAAGAGAATTTTAATAGTAACATTCAACACTTGTTGAACATTAAGAATGTGCATTTGTCCTTGTGTGGATGTTGAAAGAACTTATCTCTTTGTAAAGGAGCAACATGACTAATTTGTGCCTGATAGGGGCATACTCACAGAGATTTATCAATTATACTGAAAATTCAGATGTGCACAGACATTTTAATTCCCACACAGGTCACTTCTGCAGTCTTCCTTGTTTATTTCTGTTATTGAGTAACCTGGTCAGTGAAAGGTTTCCTCCCCRTGGCAGGGGAAGTAGGAAATAGATGATCATCAAGGTCTCTTCCAACCCAAGCCACTCTAGGATTCAATGGTTCTATRATTTTATATAATGTGTGATTTTTCAAGAATACTCAGGATTTGCCCAATTATTTCCAATTAAATGCACTTTGTTTGTGGAAAATTCTCAATTTTCAGTCAGTTCTTCTGAAGCCACAGGTGCTTAYCTCCTCAGAAAATGTACATAATACAGAGACAGAGATTAGTTTGTCAGGGATGACTTGGAAATGGCCAATACAAATTACTTGGAAAGACAAATGTTTCCTTGTCAGTTCTATTCTCAAACATCAGCTACTTTCCCACCCCACCAAATTTCTCTTACCAGCTACAACAGTAAAATCAGCTTCAACATCACAAGCTATAACATCTCCATTTTTTATGTGCTTCTTGACAGCATCTTTTACTTTGCCCATTCCTAATTCATTTCCTCCATCTCCAACACCTTTATAAGAGAGAAAAAAACCTCAAAATTAGTACAAACACAGCACATAACTGACAATCCCTTTAGAAAGCATCCAGTGTCTTCCCCACAGTTTCTGTGATAGTTCATAGCTGCATATGACATCATTTATTCTTTTTCATCCACAGTGCCTAAAAACAGAAGACTGTGAATGAAATATCTGAAATCATCATCTAGTACATGCTAACATCTAAGTTTATATGTGCAGTATACCCTGTATATTGTATGCATGCAAGAAAAATCAAAATTATCAAATGATTGTGAACAGAATTAAGATAGTAAACTCAGGGAAGGCCTTGCATGAGCTTTCTATATAATGTGTCATCATAAGTACATCAGCACAAATAGAAAAAGAAGATAAAAAAAAAAAAAAAAATAAACCTGAGAAATCAGCTGAAAAAAAAAAAAAAAAAAAAAAAAAAAAAAAGAGAACAGAAATAAAAATTATTGGAAAAAGACAAGCAAAAATATATGCAAGGACTTTGGCAGAACTAGGCCTGGCTGCACTCCCATGTGCTTGATACAGACCACTCATGTGCCACAGTACACAAAGAGCCCAGCCCTGTATACTGCTATTGCTTTCATTTTCCATAGCCAGTTACCAAAAAAMCAGCTAGTCTTTATTTTTTTTAAATGTTCTTACATACTGGATATAGGGCCTTGATTTTTGTTGCACAAATAGAAACATCTTCTATTTGTCTTAGTGATTTCAGTGAAATCTGTGGGATCTATGTCATTTCAGGAATATTCTGGGCAACTCTATGTTTGGGACATAAAGTTGTCAGATGTCATTTAGAGATCTGGAGAGATGAGGGTTACATATAAACCAGCARTTTACATAAAAGCTGGATAGTATCTCTAGCCTCTTACCAATATATTAAAAACACATTAAATATTCCATCTATTATGTTGGAAATCAAAATTTCTTTTTCATCTGTTAGTTTGAATGGCATCTTCTTAAGTTTGAAGATTTTACAGAAAAATCCTAGCCAATGTCTGTGAAACAGAACAGTGAAGAGTTCCAAGTCCTCATGCGACGGATCAGACTTTAATTTGAAATGTGACTGTGCTCTAATGCACAGCATKTGTTACAGGAGAGAAATTACAATATTTATAATTTACACTTCAAACCCTGAAAACTGTTAAATGTAACACTTTTTGTAACTGCATAAATATCTCATGCCTGTAGCAAATTTCTTCCTTAAGTGTAAGTCATTTCTCAGCAGCAATTTTTCATTTGATTCCTTAAGTCTGTACAGTCAAGTAGGGCATAAACGAGTGACRCATAGCTTACATAAAAGGATTTGCCACAGAACAGCTACTCTTTTTTATCTACTATAATGATCTGTTCACATTTATTTCACGGTTAATGAAATAAAGTTAATCGTGCTTTCTAAAATCTGTATATTGGTAGTCCTTTTCATACAGGTATTGATATAATCCTGGTACTTCTATCCTTATATATATACATAGGGAAGTTCTACTGTTTTGTAAGAATCACACACAATGTTCTGATCTTTCTTATACACAAAATTAAAATTTTGGTCTTAATATTCTTAAAAAAAAGGCTAAGGTGAGTTCTTGTCCCATGACGATAATCAACAGTTTCTTTAATTGAAAGATGCCCATTGCTCAGGGCTTTTTCTGTCAGTCCTGCTTTGCTCTTCCTTTGTGGGAGTCCTGTCACCAGGACGGCTGCACAATCATTAGATCTATTGCTGTGGATGGATCCCATTAGTGTGACACAGGGAGGAAAAGAACACCACATTGAAAAGTCTCCTGTCCCATCTGTTTTCTTCTTCCTCTACACCTTGACAGAGAACTGTATTTTATTGTAGATCTCCAGAGTGCAATTCACCTGTGCAAAGGCAGCCATCCACATGAGCCAGTCAGCTACACTACTTTTGAAGGCAACAGAAAGAAACACTCCCTTCACACATTCAGTTCATCTCACCCCAAGGCAGACATCTCAAATATAGATGTCTGAAAATAGGCAAGATGAATCCTCTTCTAAAGGCCCAATTACTTTCCAGGCAAAGGAAAAAACGTTCTGCCAGATCTTCCATGTAAGTTTCCACTGACTACATTGTTTTCTCAAACTACGAAATATGCAGGAAATGTCAGTCTTCCATGCTAAAAATCTTTTGTATGAAAGGTAAATGTGTGACCCCATTTTTTCATGCAGTACGATGGAAAGCTTTTAATTATCTCCTATATAAATAGCATATACCTATGTCAATTGTATGGCAGCTGAAAAAAACCCCAGTATTTGGTTCCAGTAACATCTCTTAATCTTTTTTTTCAGTCCTAAGTGGAAAATGAGTCCCTTCCAAACTCAGCCTTTTATGTTGTCTTATTCTGTGAATTCCTCAAGGCTGCTCCTTACTCCCTGAGTTTTTAGGTTGTCAGTGTCCATACAATTGTAGGCAGTGCTCATGCTTTGTCTGTGGTCAAACTACCAGATCAGATTTTCTTTTTCAAACACAGATCTTGTTTTAAATGCAACACTTGACAGCATTTAATTAGCATATATCAAATGTTCTAACATTTCCCCTCTCCAGCTACTGACACAGTACTTCTTGCCACAGAGCACACTATATAAAGAACTTCTGTAGGCTGAAAATTTGATCTTTCTAGTATTCTAGTCTATGAGGTTATTCTAGTGCTAATACTAACGTTGTACAAAATTTGCATTAATTTTGGAACTAGACAAACTCCTACTGACCATAAAGAAAATCAAAGATACCTCACCAGAAAAAAATCTATCCTCATCAGTAGTAATACACTGCTATCAGTAATGGGAGACAAGACACAAAGGCCACAGCCCAGTGGCTAAGTTAAATTAAGCTCTGCAGAAACACATTGAAAAACCCAATATCCAACCCAAGAAATTGCTATCCAATTCAAAAACAGACACAAGAAATTAGTGCTATAAGCAACACAAGAACTGTTAACTAGGTAACCATGTAAGAAACAATTACATTGTTTTTCCAGAGATACTGAATTAGTTCTCCAGTGCAGAATATCCACCTACACAAATGCCATGGGAGATCAGAGCAGAGCCCCTCATTGTCCTTTGAAGCCTCTGACTTGTTAGAGCATTTTCTATACTCATATCTCTCCAGAGAAAGTTCACAGCACTGAGACACAATGAATCTGGATAACTGCTTTTCTTCTTTTTCACAAGTCTGTCGTATTTTTTATAAATCACATTTCGTAATATATTTGAATATTCAGAGAATGTTTGAAACAAAATGGCATTCTGCTGAACAGTCAAATTCTCAACCAGCAGAACATTCCAAACTCCAGCAAATGAATAATATACTTTGAGCTGCTGTGAGAGATATTTGAAGAGGTTAGAGTATTTTTACTAAAGAAATCAGATTATGGTGTTATGTAAGTAGCTGGAGAGACCAAGTTCTTGTATCAACAGCCTAAAACCAGGGACAGGAGTTGAAACTAATGGCAGCAGATAAAGCTCTGAGGCATTTTGTTACACATCCCTACAAAACAGAGCTTTTCCTATACTTATTCAGTCAATCTTTGTCCTCTGCTGGGATTGCCAAGACAGTGCCATCTAGAGTGCTTCCTTTTGAATGTTGGAAGGCACTTCTTATGAAAAGGAAAAAGAACTGAATTAAACCTAAAATACTGCAATTTTTACAATAATAAAAAAAAAATCAGTGAAGTCCTCTGCTACATAGCTTTAAATTATACCAATACAGTGAAATCCCACTATGCATTATCTCTGAAGAAGTTCTCTAAATTCTGTGGAAACAATTGAAAAACAACAAAACTGAGAAGCCAAAGTTCCCATGCTTTTGGTAATACTTAAGAATGAGTGTACAGTACGATAAGAAGAAAAAAAGCTAGATCAGCAGACATGTTCTGATGTGACAGAAATCAGTTTGGCATGGGTACTTTTTTCTAACTGAAACATTTATAGAGATTATACATCTCCAAAACTCTCACACATGGTAGCAGGAAGCATCCAACTGTACAAGGATGATGTACAATGGCCTATAGCAGATGTATTTTTTTCAAAACCAGATACAAATAAGTTTTCAGGAGAAAATGGTTTATTGCCAAAAGAGAGGAACAGCATGCTGACAAAAGCATTCTCATTAGAGGTATTAGCAGTCTTTTTGGTAGGAAGGACAAGGTATTCCTTTAAAGATTTTTACTGTATGCACATATTTTGTTAGAGAAGGCACTATTATAATGGATGCAAATATGTAATCCCTGCTTAAAAGAATGTACTGCTAAAGACAATAGAAACAGAGATTCCATCCAGACTGCTGTTTTAACTTAGGTGTAGCAATCATAAAACCAATACTTTAATAAGTAATGTTACCATCCAAAACCATTTACTTTCTATGCCACCTTCAACACATAAAATACAGAATAAAGTCACTATCAAAAACTCCACTTAGAGTGTATGTACACAGACTGATGTATAGGTAATACATCTGGGCTTACTTCTTTTTCCTTACACAACTTCAAAATCAACTCTTTTTTTTTTTTTTTTTTTTTTTTTCTTTTTTTAAATTCTTCAATAGAGACTTGTATTTTTTCTCCAGCAATGATCTCATCAGATTCAACACAACAAACAGCTGTAGCTGTAGCCTGAAAGCAGCTACTCAGCACCTGCCTCCTGGTCCCCTCTACTGCCAGTCAGAGTTCCTCTTTTGTGCTTCTCTTGCTTCTGAGAACATCACACAAACTCACACATACCTGTTGTTGTGACTCCTGGAATAGTTTGCGCAGCTAAAAATAGCTCATCTATGGGATCCACGAGATGTTTAATGTTAACTTTCCTGGCATTGTAGTAATTGCCATCAGCAGCCATCCCAGCACGCTCTATTGCTATCAGGTGATCAAATCTGGTCATAGGTGTGTGAAAAAAAAAAACAAAGGGGAGAAGTTAAAGCTGTGATTTTCACATGACAAATTCTTTTGTTGGCTGCTTCTCCTGCTGTGGTTAGACTTGTTATACTTTTGGACCATTTGGGATTCAAGGTAATACTTGGATACTGTTTTGTTATTTCTGAATGTTGTTCTCATGGGGATTTTTTCAACCGTTAGTTCAGGTTTTTTTCATAGCTTTAATGCAGCTCCCCTAAACCACATTTGCTACCAAGAAATGGAGAAGTTCCTGCAATCCTCCTAGCCAGCAATCCTTTGGGTCAGCCATCTGGTCTGGCTCTGTTTCACGTTAAAATAGAGGATATCTTGTAAAATATTAGTCTCTGCAAGTATATTCAAAGAAAACAAAATGTGGAAAATTAATGATCCTCTAAATCTTTGTTAGTGCTAATATATTCTCTGCTTAAAGTACATTGCTTGGCAAAGATTAATCTGTTTCTTGTTAGACAGTATTTTGCTGTGGGTCTTTAGATTTGGGGCTTTTCTTAAAGTCTATGGTTGTTTCGTTGGTTAAGAAAGTAGACAGATGTACTGCAGATGTCCTACATTTTAAGAAGAATTTTAGTACTCAGTTCTGCCAGTGTATGTTAGAACTATTTTGCTTCTGTTTCTCCAGTTCTGCTGTCAAGAGGTTACTAATTCTGCTGAGCTACTTAATGTTCTTGTGGGTGGGTATCTACAGTGATTCCAGAGACCTTTAGCAGGTTAGCTGTCTACTTAAAAAAATRCTTTAGATTTTTGGGACTAAGGGACCAATCTAAATACAATCTGCCTGTATTTTAATAAGCATAGGTATAAAGGACATTTTTAAAACAATACACAGAAAATGAAAACAGTATCATGCATACTATTATAGTACACATTAAGCTGTGGAAAGAAATGGGAACTGAATAAGCTACTAAAGCAATACCAGGGTGAAAGGTCTTTTTATTCTAGAATCAAACTGAAGGCAACTACATTAAAATGCTTTTCGAGGAAAGATCAATAAAAATGAGCAATACATGCCTACTTCAAGGAAATTTTAGCTGCCTGCTATGTAATGAAATGTGCATACAGCTACTTAGCAAATTCTCCAGTGCATTAAACCCTAATCACACCATTACAAACACATGACATTTTATTAAGTCAGATCAGATTCCCAGTTGTCAGACTAGAGCTAAAGCTCTAGAAAATGAACACATTCCACAGCTCTTTTCCCAGATCTTTCACTGACTTTGATATAATACTTACCTAGTTTCTCACTGATTTAAAAACTGGTAAAATAATATAGTGTGTGTTTTGTGTGTGTGTGTGTGTATTTACAGAATACCAGCCAAAAAAGTTATAGAAATTTTTTGAAGGAAAAGAACTATTGATATATGAAGAATTGTTGCTGGTTTTGTACTCCAGGAATGCATAATTGCAGAATAAGGTGGAATTCTGTATCCTGTGTGTGCTCCAATAACAATGTTTTGGCTTCAAAGTTTGCTCTGTTCATTCCAAGTCTTTACTTGTAACAATTGTGCCTTCTTAGGCCACAGACCTTATTTTAATTTTACACAGTAAAGGTGTGAYCCATTCTCAAAAACAGAATACACATACCTAGGTCTTCTAGGATTCCCATTCTCACACAAAAACATTAAAGCTGAATCAGCACTTTCCCTTTGGTAGCTCAACAGAGGGACAGGCTTCCTCAGGATTCCTACAGGAAAGCAAAATGAAATTCAGATTCTATAATTTTGTTTGATGTGTGTTTGAGTAACTTAGTYTAAAAAATAAAAAGCAAAATTGCTAGAACAGTAAGAATTTAATGTCTTTACACAATTCTTGATAAGCTCCCTATACCCTTACTTTAAACTTGTTTAGATGTGAATGCTATTAAATGGGATCTTGAGGTAGAAAACAGGTGTACAAGAATAACAGACATCCAGAATTTATCACAAGTAGCTCATCCAGAATCAGTACCAAGATATGTACACATTAGCTTGATGCCAGCTAGGTTTAACAAAATGTCATCATAGCAATGCTGAGCAGAACTTAGAGGATGAATTCTGATTCATTTTCTAGGAAAAAAAAAAAAAGTCCTGTACTAAGTGACAGATTAAAACTGAAGCAAACCTTGGCTCAAATTAGCAAGATAAAAACTGACAAAATCCATGTCTCTTACCTAGTTGAACAGCTTCTTCAATAATCTTTTTATTCAGATCCATGGCTCTCTGATCTGTAACTATGGCAACCTCTTTCTCCAAGGCCTGCAGCATAGCTGCAATAGCAAGGGCTCCCGGGGGCCCGTCGTTCTCTTCGGGTGGCTCGTGAGTGAAGTGGGTGGGAAATCCGGTTGTTATCAGCACGGATCCAGCGTGGGACATGGCCAGGCAGGCCCTCAGCAGCTCACCCTGGTGCTGCAGGTGCATTATACCCCTGTCTCCTACAGAAGGGTTTTTAAAGAGAGCACTACACTTCAGTGGATCATTCTCCTTTAGAAGTTTACTCTGGGTGAAAGAACATACTTTAGTGACATAAAATGGGTTAAAAAAAAAAAAGGGAGAAAAAACTCTAGTCAAGGCAGGAATTGGGGCAATTTCCTCAGGAAACCTAAAAAGGTGTAGGATGTAAGTAATAAAGATAATGCGCTGTGCTTCCACATTAAGAATGTCAGATTTTGAAAATTTGTATACCTAGCATTTCTAGGTATACTAGTGTAATCAGCTTTTTCTGAGAGCTTATTGCATATTGTTTCCTTTCCTTTGGCTCTCTGCTTTCCTTTGACAGTCCTGCTAGACCACGTCTAGCTACCGAAGCTAGACTGCAACCTGAACATCCCAGACCTTACAGAATTTCTAATGTAGACTTCAGAGGTGTAAGCTCATTCTTTGTCTCTGTTTTACTCCATCCACTTAGGGAAGAGTTAATTCCCAAAGAAATTTCACTTAATGAAATTATTAACCTCAAAAGTGAGGTTTCAGAGACATTGTAAGTTACCTGGGGACTTTATAAACTCATTTAACACAGTGGAATCCAGGGGACTACTAGAAGTCCTTTTAACACTTCATATAGTAGACAAGCATATCATCAGACCTTAAGAAATAGGTGAATATTAACAGAGCTCTCATGGGTCAGTCCCTAAATAGGCAACACTGTTATCTGTGTATAGCTTTCATTATTCGAATGCTTCCTATCCCCTGGAAACAAGTTCCCAGCTCAGTTCTTTTGATTTGCCAGCACTCCTAAAAACCATGAGTACCAGCATGATGGGCTCATAGAGGCAAGCCTTCACTGTTGTTTTCCAATCTCCTCCCATCTTCATCCTTCTTGCTCCCCTCACCCCCCACATTCTCCTCTTTTCGTCCTCAGTTTCCCCTTGGGCATTTCTCCCTCTGTTCCTCCTACATAATAGGCAGGTAACACACAGATAATGGACAGAGAAAAACATTCAGAACAAAACTTAACAAAAGCCAATATAAGTCTCCAAGAAGTGGGGTATATTAACTGAGACAAAGTGCTGTACTCTCCTTTAGCAGTAAAACGAGCTAACTCTTAAGTTAGGTCCTGTATTTCTGCAGAGCATGGCATTGTGCCAAACCAGCTCCAGAGAGTGGGAAAGGAGAGGCCTTGTGAGTAAAAATAAACAGACCTAAATGTATGCACACAGCCCAAACCCGGAGCTTGGGAGTGCTGGGCGTAAGCTGTTTTCCACTACTGCCTACAGAGGATTTCAGAAAATTTATGGCACACTGAGCTCAGACTTTACAGCAGCCAGAGGGGACTAACTCAGTGTGTATTTTAGGAAGAGTTGCACTACTTGGTTTGCCTTTACTTCCTTCTCTTCCTTGTAAACAGGCATCCCCACCTCTCAACCTCCTGTGATGACCTGGTCACACCGGTCCAYCACACAACAGTTCAGTGACGCATATGTCAGCAGAAATTAATATAATTCCACCCATCAGAGAGTGGTGCTTGAAAAACACATGCAACTACTAGAATTTTCTGGAAGGAGCACAGTAGTCATGAATATATGTAAAGAAATCTGCTATTTACTCCACAGTGAATACCCATGTAGCTGTTACCAGCAAGCTCAGGTGCCCTGTACTTTACATACCAATTTCAGTTTTACTCAGTAACAGTTCTTATTCCCTCTGGACTCTCCAGTCTGCTGTAAACATGAGTGCTTCTGTGTACTTTGACAGCCTAAAGTCATCAAGATCAGATATTGCATTACCCACAAGGTTGAATGGTTTTGGCCAGACTCTGATATTAACTACAGTAACAGAAAATATACGATCTTGCATAAACTTACTGTAGTCCACAAAGAATTCTTAAAACCACCTTCAGATCCTGAATTTTAAATTCTTGAATTTTAATTTTAATTTTAAGTTCTTGAATTTTAAATCTCTAAAAGGGCAGGATAGGTGGTATCTACCCCATAACAAATCCATTAAAGGAAGACAGTTTTTGTTTATACCTGGATCTATTCCAATTAGGGTCTCTAGAGTATTTATCTTTTGGGCTGCTTCTGCTGACACAATGCTGAAATGCAGAGGATCTTGAGAGATGCAGTGGACCTGTGGGCCTCCTTCTAAGGATCTGACATTGTCATTCTTTAGGTCGGTAACAAACATGCAGCCAGGAGAATGAGTAAAAGCTAATGGAGCTCCTAAAAYGAATGAAAAAACTTCAGTTAAGTGTTATTACTGCAATAAAATGTATTATCAGAATGATAAAATTTCCAAAAACTACTTATTATAACAACAGAGTCCCTGCCTGATGACACTTATAAAAACAGGCRATATTTTAAGTTACACTGCAGCAGTTAATACACTTTGAGAAAGAAATGTATCATGTACACCTGAAAATGTTTTCATTTTTACAAAGCTCATGCAAGTAGCTGAGATCAGTTTTTTCCACATGTCCTCTTTGGTCTAAACTCGAGGCAATTTAGGAACAGAACGCTGGTACCCTCCCAAAAGGTCTGTTGTGATGGAGTTTGTCTTCCCAAGTCACCATTACCTGTGATAGGGCTCTGCTCCCCTGGAGATACTGAACACCTGCATGCCCATGGTAGGCAGTGAAATAATTCCGTTTTGCCCTGTTTGGATACATGGCTTTTGCTTTCCATATTAAACTCTCTTTATCCCAGTCAATGGGTTTTCCAGCTTTTACCCTTCCAGTTCTCTCCCCGATCCTGCTGACTGGGGTCAAACCATGACAACTATAAACTGGCACGGAGAAATGACGAAAGGGGACCAGTAAGCCTTAGAAAAGGAAATATGAGTAGCCTCTATAACCCTGGAGAAAAATAAGCTTCTTTAGACCTGATAGCATAGTAGCCCCCTAAGCTGAAAATATTTCCTGTCTTTATATCTGAATCTAGGTAATACTTGATTTAGCAAAATTGGTGCGTTGTTAGGTATATTTAAACAACAAAACTTGACTTTGTTAGGAGGGTGAAAATGGAGAAGATATCTCTTTACTAAGTACATACATGCTTGGTTTGAGCTATATTTGTTGGGAATTTATGGCTAATAATTTAAAAGTACATGGGAAATGTGGTTGTTGAAGTTTACCTCACCAAGCCCTGTGAGAAGACAATTGCTTGTGGCAAGCTAGCAGATTCATCTAAAGTACAGCTACTGGTGGTAAGGCAGATTTTTAGCTAGCTAGCTGAGAAGGCAGCAGAGCAAAATAAAAACTGTCCAAAAAATCCCTGGAATGCACTAATGACAACTGGTTTTAATATAGAAAATGGAGGAATAAACAAAAAAGAAAGTTGGTTCCAGGCAAGAGCAGCATAGACAGCCACTTTGGGCAACAGATTGGAGAGACATTGGGAAATTTTTTCTTTCCTTTCCCTACAACAAGGATGCATGAGGAAGATGAATAGGATTGCTGAAGAATACAGGAATTAGCACATTTTCAGTATGGATTTGGGACTGGGGAAAAGAAATTGTATGCGAGAAAGAAAAAGAAGTCTCTTCTCCTAGAACTGAACACATTTAGAACAGGTGTTGAGAGAAGTTCACATAAAGATCTGTAAAAAACCACAAGGATCCTGCAAGGAGAGAAAAAAAAAAGCAGATGAACCTCCCGAAGTTCTCCCAGATTAAGTGCCTATGATTATTAAGCTTTTTTTCAGTAAGAATGAAAATACAGTAGTTCATTTCACACTGGTGACTTAGAAGTACGTAATGCTGTTTTATGGTTTTGTTGSATTTTCTTGCCCTTTGTGCTCATGCCTGCATAAAAGTCTGTGCACAGTGCAAAACCACTCTATGCAGAGGAAAAAGTTACATTTATGTGAAGTGTGTCACATTTACTCAATTTTGGAAAAAAAACTAAAAGCTCAACATTCTCCATGAGACACTAACAAACCCTTTTCCATGTCAATCAATTCGATAGCTCTTGACACATATTGGAAAGATTTTTGCCTTCTCTTTTTTTTTCCCATTCTTTTTTTTCTTTTTCTGTTACTAATGCTTCATGCAATATAATAAAAAATAAAATTGTAAAACGAACAAGCTTAAAAATGAATKCCTTTAAACTACTTGTTTTTATAATATTTAAATGATGTTTTGATGTTCCCCGAGCTTTAGATTTAAACCTTTAAAATACTCCCACAAAAGTGGTGGAATTTCAGTATGAATTTTCTAAAAWGTAGACTTGTATTTAATAAAAACTGTCCTGCCAAAGGCTTTTTTGTTGTTTGGTTAGGATGTTCTCTATCTTATCCTAAAATCAAGCCTGCTAATTAGCCAACTCACTCTGCATTAAAAAAAAAAATAAAATAGGAGAGAGAAAAGAGATTGAAGAATAATTTAAAAGGAGTCTCCAAGCAGTACATACTGCAGTTCATGACTGCTTCTACTCCTGTTACTCCACAGGCCCAAAACACTGGAATATCACCAGGGTGAAGGTGAACTGGATCTCCGTAGTCTGGTTTAGAAAGATCTTGTATTCCCAGCAGACCTGGAATTGATGGAAAATGAAATAATGAATTATTCTAATTAAGCAGTAATACTGCAAAGCTGGGGKATGGACCCCAAACCTCATTCAATGACACTGAGTTAAGAGTGAAAGAGTGTTAGGTCCCTCTAAAGAGGAACATTTAGTTTGCCTTTGTGTGCATATCCTCAGAGCCTGAGCTGACTTTATTTACTTTTTTTTGTACTCAATCGTACCAGTAAAAATGGATTTACCTTATTTCTGCAACAAAATGCAACCTTGACATCTATGTTGAGTTTTCAAGATAATACAAATCTTCTGGATCAACAGAATAATTATATTCATAGCACTGACAAGAAAGAATAAATGACTGCAGTGCAAAATGAGTTCTTTCTAGAACACATTTTCCACTGTTTTAACTTCCTACGTTCTCCAGCTAGAGAAATCATCAATCTCTCTTTTTCCTCTCTGTCTATATAAATACATCTCACTCTTAGCCGCCTTTCACTAAATTGYTTTTTGCTTTATTCTGACACCTACTTGTAATAATCTGGGTCATCCTAAGCACTTGCTATCTTCACTGGTTTTAAATTCTTCAGATGCTTTAACATACCACTGTCTTAGATGGAATTAATTTATGTAATCTGTATATATAATAATTTGCACTTTAGTAATGACTCGTTACTAGTTCCTCAGACTTAAGTACTCAGATATGTTACTTAAATACATTACTGGAGTGTWGTGTTAACCAGTGACATCTCCTTCCATGCCCTGCAATGTGATTCTTCTGTGTATGCAGCCCATGATCACCAAATTTCTGACAGCAGGGGGGAAACTACTACAAACTATCATCATATTACAGGTGTTTGGTTGGTTGTGTTCTTTTTCAAAGAGCCGCCTGTCTTTTTGTTTTTCAGTTTTGCTCAAACTAGATTTAAAAAAAAAAATTGTCATATTTCTATTCATTCTGTCTTAAGTATTGTGCTCATTGTATGCTATTTCAGTATTTTTAAAAATAATGCAGTATTTACTTTCACATTCAACCACTAAGACACAAAATAAGACACATATTTCTCTCCATGCTGCCAGTCATTGCTACCCTGTCACTGGAATCTCTGACAGCAAGAAAGTATTTCACATATAAATGAAACTGCATACATTTCATAAAAATGTGATTACGTTTTTCACCAAAACCACCCCTACCATATAACTTATCTACATCCGGCAACTATCTTTTATCTAAGAAATCTGTCTGTTCAGCTCACTCAAAAACCTTTTCTTTTCTTTTCTTTTCTTTTCTTTTCTTTTCTTTTCTTTTCTTTTCTTTTCTTTTCTTTNAAAAACCTTTTCTTTTCTTTTCTTTTCTTTTCTTTTCTTTTCTTTTCTTTTCTTTTCTTTTCTTTTCTTTCCTTTTCTTTTCTTTTCTTTTCTTTTCTTTTCTTTTCTTTTCTTTTCTTTTCTTTTCTTTTCTTTTCCTTTCCTTTCCTTTCCTTTCCTTTCCTTTCCTTTCTTCTCTTTATTTTTTCCTTTTATATTCAGATTTGTCACCATTAGAAAGGATTAAAACATGATAGATTTAGAGGAGCAGGTATTTCAGTCCTACCACTTCCCATGCTTTTCCCCTTCAATTTTATACACAGTGAAGAGCATGCAGAGTGAAAAATGAAGAACACTGACCAGGGTCACCTATGTGAATTGGTGCTCCATGGGCTTCTTTTAWTTCAGATGTTGCTAGCACAGCTGCTTCCAACTTGCTTTCAGGAACAGGTCTCATTGTGACTACTAAGTTGCAGTGAAACACAGAAACGCTGTGGCAAGGCACAGATGTCTGGCAGTTCAAAAGAATCCAGTGTTAGAAGAAATACTGAATAATACTTCTAAAACGTTAGAGTAAACAAATCTAAATCTTTGYGCCATACTTGAGTTTAGAGTTGCTGCATTCTAACATTCATTTTAACTCCTTAAAAAAAATTCTCAGGATCCCTTATTTTTTCCCTTTAAGGTTCCATCCTTTAGCTTCATCATATAGATCACTAAAAGTTTCAACATCATGCATTGCTTGTTTCAGTGCACACTGCAAGGKGAGGTCAGTATATGTTGAACATTGTCAGAAAACAACGGTGTGCTTCCTACACAGAAAGTGAAAAAGCCAATAGAAAATGATTGCACAGCAACAGATCTACTTGATCTGGATACACCCTCTGTACTTGAATACAGTGCTCTGTGACATGCCTGGGTCAGGAACTGCTGCTGGCAGTACCCACTTGTAGAGAAGCAGCATGCCAGCTCATACATACAAAATCTTCCATGTCTCTATAAAGGTTCTGTTACTTCACCCCCACCAACTGGAATGCTGAAGCACCTTTTCTATTTAGAAATAAAGCAGGTCAGTTTTTTAGAAAAAAATGTCTGATATCTGAGTTGCAGGTGAACATAAACAAGACATGCAGAGAGCTACAGCTGTCTAGAAAATGTTCCTTTAAAGCCTTTATAATGATAATAATAATCACACCTGTCACTGAAAAAACACACTGTAGGTCTTCACAGCTTTAATGTGCTATAAACCATARAATTTTACTAATTATGAAGTGTTGGAAGCAGATACATAGTTGTATTTTTTTCTTTAAACTTGGCACAAGGACTCATGTATGTGATACATTGGCATCTTCATACTGACCAGGAGCATAGCATAGATTATGCAATGATAACAGTGAAAACAACAATAACCTTTCTCTAGTAGCACAGCATCTGAACTAAATTAAAAAGGCATGCAGATATGCACCTTAATGTTCCTAGTATTAAGAGGTTTATTTACTAGARCCAGAATTATTCTAAGACTTCTGTTAGCATTAAAATCTACACCATAAACTTCTTGACACAGTCATAATTTTCAGTGCTGTGGTAGACACCTTAAGCCTTTGGGAATATCTTCTGTTCCAGAGGCCAGTGTTTGTAGTAAGTAAAGGCTCTACTGTCACAGGAAAAATCCAAAATGTGGCTGTCATGCAGCAGAAACTGCTATTATCATGGTTTATAAAAGGAAATTCCAACTGTAAGCAGGAGCTGGGATGGAGAGCAGGACATGTAAARGCATGGTCAGAATAGTGCATGGATCATCAGGTGAAACACAGAGGGCAAACCAGGACAGAATCCAAATGGCTGCCACAGGAAATGAGGAAAGCTTTGTCACAAAAAAAAAAAAAGAATAAAAAAAGCAGATTGGCCTCACACTGAACTGAGGCTGAGAATATTTTACCCTGTCTTTTCATGCACTCAGCACTAGCATATGCCTTAGGTTACTATGTAGGTAGAGAAAAACCTAATGTGAATATGGGCAAAATTCACAGGCATAATTACAACAAAGATTATGTGTATGTGCATATACTTACTTTGTACATGCTCACATTACAGTTTTGCTCAACGTTTCTTATGGGAATGCCAGCTTTTTGGACTGCTTTTTCAAAAGAGAAGCTGCAGCCTAAATAAAAGGTCACCATGTCCTTGAGTTGTTCAGAATACTCCTTAAGGCTTTTCAGTGATCCAGTACAAGCTCCATGCTCATATTTTCTGTACTGCAGGCAGTCAGTTCTAGTGAAATAACAAGTTATCACAGCTTTATCACATTTTTTGAAAACGAGGTGAATTGGTTGAATTGACAGAAACCCAGTGTGAAACCACAGGATACAGCCTACTTTATCCATTTTTTTTCTTTCTGAGTAATAACGAAACAACCACAGGCAAAACCCCCAGAACACCTTATCCTGCACAAAACCAAGATGGCAAACATTACACATTAGAGTTTGAGATTTTTTAGGTTTTATAGGTAAAGGTCCCTTATGTGTATCTTGTCTCAGGCTTTCAAAAATTAGGAATCTAGTCTAAGTCTTGTCTTCAGTGTCTATCACAGGAGTACATCTTTCAAATTTCAGAGACTCTCCAAGTATCATGCAGGCACCATGGCCATGTTTCTAGTAAATAAAACAAATACAAAAAACCTATTATTGAATTCTGCAGGCTCAGACTGCAAAATATTTTAAAATTACTCAAAATTTAACCTTAGGATTACAGAAATACTTGGAATTCTGACAATTATCATAACATGTTTCTCAAGAACAAGATGATCAGGCTGTACATACATGGTTTTCACTCAAAGGTGTAACTCCAAGAAAGGAACCTTGTTCAAACACAGGTTGTTTCCTGAAACCTTTCTAATCATCACCAGCATTCACTGCAGAATATTGGCAAGCAGAGTTACCTGATATCAGAATCACTACTCAGGGAAGGACATTTCCAATCACCAGGTTGACTTCTGTACAGCAGTGGCAGGGGTCCATCATTTGCATGGCAGAACTTCTCAAAGTCATCAGCCAGGGACTTGTGCAAAATCACAACGTTGGCCTGTTCATAACCTTAAATTGTGGAAGGTAGGAATGAYTGGTTAGTAATTCAGCTTTTTGTTTGTGAAACACTAACTCTCCTGTACAAATTTCTTTAGATGGTCTATAAAAATTACCTGAAAGAAATTTTTGCTTCATAGCCCTGTAATTAAATTAAGCTTCTTGAAAAGTTTTAAAAATCATAGCTAGGCCTTCTCTGTATGTGAAGTCATTCACAGCTAAAACAGATGGCAGACATGGATAGTAGTAGAATTTGAAGACACTATAATTAATAAAAATTTCTATGAATTTATATATAAACACAATTTCTTGTCTAACCTGGGAAATGACTGTTCTGTAGGAAAATGCTTTATTTGCAAATATTAGCTGAGAGCCAAAGAAAGGCTATCCCATACCACACTTCCACAATTATTTTTCACAACACCAAGCTATAAATCATGGTCAGTCCAAGAGTAAACTCCTGGTATCTTGATGTTCGTAACACATTCTTTTAAAATTTCTTGGCTAGGGAATTTTAATGTGGSCTGCAATTAAACAGGTATTATTACAGCTCAGGAATAAACTATTGCCTGTTCACCGAATCTCAGTAATTTCTGCTTTTCCTAATTTAAAAAAAAAAAAAAAAACCAACCTAAAATAAACAGAACTGCTACACTTTTTTCACCTGGAAACAGTTTTGATTTAACATGTTAACTACTACAATGAGATAGCTTCTAAAGACATTAACATTTTTTCAATGAGTAGCACTAAAGAAAGGCCCCATTCATTTCTTTAGCAAAAATTTATTTTCTTAACAGTAATAGTTAATACCAATGCCATTTAAATTTCCCTGCATGCATATATCAGCTGTGCAAACAATGAGGGGAAATTTGAAGTTCAATTGGTCTGGGGTGTATAAACCCGCAATCAAAAGTCCCTAAATTCTGCACTGAGACTCTCTTGAAGAGTTTATTAGTCTGATATCAGGCAGGAGAGTAGGAGGCTGCACAGAAGCACTCACTTTCTTAAATACTGCAGTAGTCTGTCATGAAAAAGGGAATAATTTATTGAAATCAATGAGCTTCCCTCAAAGGCTATAGAAAATGAGCCAAACCTTACTCTTGACCAAAGCTTACAAAGAGATCTAAAATAGAATTCTATTCCTCATGGAAAAATGCAAAGCGAAGGCTGAGGTAAGCATGTATTTGCRTACTGAAGTTGTCCACAAACTGCTCTCTTGAGAGTAGTCAGCACAAAAATTCGTTTTATTACTAGCAAAAGTTACCAAATTCAGAAAGAGATTCTTGCTAAATACAGAAAAAATATTTTTGCTAAATAAATATACTACATTTACCACTGAATAAAACTCTACATTCAGTTACCCTTCAACTTCATTCCCTGCCATCCATGAGAAATCCACAGGCACTCTCTGCTTTGCTGGTTATATTAATGAATTCTTAAAATTATAGTTTTAGCCAGGGCATTCAACTGACTACACTGAACTTCACAGTAATTACAGATGACAGACTTAATCTGCAGGGAAATATTTGATAAACTCAGGAAGCTTCATTATAACACTTTGAGAACTTTATTTCTCTTCCTGATAGCCATCCTGACTTTTTTGTATATATGAAACCCGCATCTCCAGATGTATTCATTTGCATTATGGAGCCATCGTTAYGAATGTATTCACAAGCAATAGTAGTGAAGTTGGATGTGCTGACCAACCCAGGCATTAATTCAACACAATCATGTCCCAGTTCAGAGAARTTTAGAAAGAGCCTTTAACTTCTTTGGTGAATGACAATGAGGACAGTAAGAAATAATTGGATAACAACAATATAGACAATTTGTGACAATAGCTCTTTTGTATAATGAAACTGTATCCTCATGAACTTGTTTTGCATGTCAACAATACTTTTCAACATGGTTGGAACTAACACGTTTTAATTTACTGCAGCAATAAATTCACTTAAAATTTCAGCAGGTGCAAATTGCAGATTATTAATATTGTAAAATGTCTTCCATAAGTATTTTTCAACTTAGGAACTGTTGGAAAAGAAAACCACAATTTCAAGACTCACTATGATTCTATAAAATGACCTTTAACATTTTTTATAGTAGTGGTACTACACACAGCTTTGTTAATCAGCTATTTGCCATGGTATTTTTAGTTGAGTTACTTTTTAAAGTTGATCAGAACAATGACAGACTTCTCTGCTTCTGCAAAAGACCAGCTATGAGAGGCAAGACAGAAATCAATCCTCCAGAATGCATTCAGTTATTTGAGTATAAAACTAATTTTTCCCTCCCCCTTATAATTCCTAGTCTCATTGAGCCTGCAATCTTCACTTTCTGCAACAAATGAAGCAGAAAACCACTTCTGTAACTATATGTCTCCAGTTYTTCCCCAAAGCATATTTCATGTGATAAGTAAAGGAAGGTCTCTGTGAAGAACATAGTAGGTCATCTTACAAATGTGATAATAACRTGCAAGAAAAGCCAGATTTGGTTAAAGATTTTTCAAATATTTTCTGCATTCCAATGCCAATTGGGAGCTGAGGGATGCACTGTAAACATTGAAAATTAAGTCCATGAATGTACTCAGGTAGGATGGTGTATTTTCTCTGATATATCTTTATGGTTTAAATAACAGTCAAGTGCTTAYAATATGATTTCAAAAACACCCAAGAACGTAACATTTTTTCTGTTTTACTTTAGTGCTTTTGATATTTCTACATTACTTCACAAACAAAAACCCACATAGTTATRAATCTAAAGTGGAATCACTTTGCACAGAGAGCTGTTAGGTTTACTTACCTTCTGCCATTCCAGAAGTATTACTAATACTGAGTCTGTTGCATCGAATTATTCTTCTTAGCACATGGGGAAGGAGAGATTTCAAGCCTCCTGTCAAAAGCATCTCTTCACCCTTAACAGAAAGATAATTATAAATTTAAACAAAGAACACTTTTTTTTCACATTTGAGATTCTGATTTTCTGGAGAACTTATCTTACATTTCCTCCTCATGTTCCACCACAGTTATTATTATTGGGAATTTCTAAGTTGTAACTCCATAGGGAGATCAAAGTCAAAGGATTATTTCCCTGACATGACTATATACAAATTGAATCTTTCAATAAATTAGCTGAAGACATGCACTTTAGCATTTGGGATAAATACAAAATTTTGCTGGCCTATAATGTAAGAAACAGATTTCTCCCTGATAATTATTAATTTTGTATTCACTTTTCCAAAAGTCATTGTAACTTTTGAAATTGCAAAGCACAAATGGAATAAACCACCAAACTACAATCTATAATATTACTTCTCTGATCAAAATACTTTTAGACAATTAGCAAGGCAACCTTGCGATAGAGAACTATATTCAGAAAATGTCATTGTAATACATTTCATATGTATTATACTTTTCAAATATTAATCATGTAGAAGTGAATACTCCTGTGGCTATTCTTCCACTGGGAAAGCAAATGTTTAAGTCACTTGTCATATAGTTTGGAGTAGATACAGAAATAAGTAACTGAAGTACAATCAATATCTGTCTCTTTTTATTTCTTCTGAAGATTTAAAATGTCATTTTTCTGTAATCCAGACAAAGTTTACACCAAGTTTTTCTCTTAGCCTGAACTAAAAAGGAATACATCACTATTAGGAAAAAGCAAGAGTTAAGTCGGGCTAAAATAATATTTTGGATGCATATGATTTTAACCTTGGTYACTTTAGGTAAAGAAACTGAACTATCCTCCAAGTAATCAAATTACCAACCTCCAAATCTTTCCTCAATTCAGAAGAAGCCATTCTTGATGTCATTCATAAGAAAGAATAACATGAGAGAAATGGTGTTGCTCTTTTTAAAAGATGCCACCAAATTAATGTATAATTAGATGTTACAACCTTCCAGCAAAAGTTAACTTTTCTGTTAAAGGTCCACTCTTTTTGAGCTATAACTATGATAGTACAAAGTTTCCCTCTCACAACCAGAGAGTGGAGTGGAATAGTGTGAAAATTTAYACCTCTGAGCTATCATTCCATAATTAACTTGAAGAGCAGTGATACGTTTTGACTGAATTTATACTTTCATCCTAGTCTGTCCAAAATGTTTCCCAGAGTTTGCAGGGTTCTGAAGGGTTAAGTTGGGTGCACTCAAATTTAGAGTAAACTTTGTATCTATTCTTAATTCTCAAATCTTTATATAACATTGTCAGCCAGAAGAAAACAACCTTTTTTCTGAACTCAAACTTACTACTTTCTAGCTCTTGTTTTCTGTTTTTRCATTAGCACTCTGTATGCTGTACAAAAATAGTATTCATTACAAAATCATGAACAATTYGAAACACACACTTTAAAGATAACAAGAAGTTGGATATACAGATGTCACTGAGCACTAATTCAGGCCTATTAATATCAATTTAAGATACACAAGATATTTTTACTGTAAAAAGAATTTCTAAMACCAGTCTGGAATGATTAATTCAAGTGATTTCAAATTACATACGGTGATCCTAACAAAACATCCCAGATGTGTTTACTAGATTATATCAGTTATTTTTTCTTTATTTCTGAGCATCTTAAAAAAACATCTAAATCATCTGCAGGATTGATGGCCTGCTACCAATGAACTACTAGTTTACTTGGACTTGAAAGACTATCTGAAGTTCAGAAAACCAATTTGGAACAAAAGCTGTCTTTAGCTAGGTATTTTGTCACAAATGCCCTGTTCTGATGTTGGGAAAGCCTGATTGCCCGCTCATAAAGCATGTGCCCAGCAGCAGGAATGGAAGTACCTATGAGATTTTATCAGCAAACAGGTAGGCCCATAAAAGTTTTCGGTTCATGTGACAGCAAGTGGCTAACCAGCTAACAGACCATGGATATTAGTAATGTTGAAATGTCAGCTGTAGGTACCTTACAGAAGCACTTGGGCCTGTTGCTCCCACTTGTGAATAAACATATACCGTTGATGACCAGTTAGAAAGCAATAATTTAAATACTAACTTTGTATAAGAGTAGTGAGACAAAAACTCACCTTCCTGTGGTCGTTTTATATAATAACAGAGAAAATTCAATAGGACTAACATTCTGAGATATAAATTCAGATCACTGTATTTGCTGTACAATATCAGTAATAGATTACACTGTTAATTTTGTTTATTAATTACCAAATTTGGACAGACAATAAAAACAATGAGATGCTCATAGTAAAACACAGCTTTTGCTATATGACTTGCCCAGGAATGGCTGGAAATGCAGCATGCAAGAGGCACAGTCAGATTTAGATTCCCCAAACATCTCTAGAACTTTCTGAAAAATCCTCGGAGCTATCATAACCATAGCATGTTTGGAATGACTGGGGAGAACATCATTAGGATCTTAAAGTGTCCTTTCCATTTTGTCACATTAGGATGCCTAATGAAGTGGATAGACTGACTTCATGGGGGCCTCAAGCAGCACTTTAAATAAACAGCCTGAGATAGTGGTTAATCAGTCAGCAGGATCTGTGCCTTGGCAAAGGTTTCTTAATTCCTTTCATCATGTTCTGAGACCGTTTCAGATAATGACAGTATCAGTTACCTCATGGRGGTATGTTGGATACTACACAAATAAAGACAACATGCAGGATTTTAAAAAGGCCTTAAGAGAAGAGGCTGACAGAGCTTGCAAGATGGCCATTGTGCCTGAGGTCATCCTATGTGGTCCTATGTCCCCCCAAAGGGATCCTAAGGTCCGGCTTTCCAGTGCATTGTCTTTAATGGAATGACCATCTAAAGCAACCAGATAGAATCCTGTGTAAACAGCACATGAAAATCAGCTCATTGACTGGCTGCATAATGACAAACTTCATACTTAAAGCACCCAGTCTGAAAAAAMCCCTTGTTCTAAGTTGTGCTGCTCACTATAGACTCCCTGACTTCCAACACCAACAAACAATATAGTAAAGGTTCATAGCACTGACGCATTAAGTTTGCTCTTGATTAACATTTTCTTAAACAWCTGGTTCCACATTAGAAGTACAAAAAACACTTTCCTTTTTAGAGTTTTCATGAAGATTCAATGTATTTCATGTGTATCTGGAGTTTTTCATACTGAACTTAAATGGATAAGTATTAAAATACGTTGCTATTTGAAACATTAAGATGGCACTTACCCACTATTGATTTGGGGGCACTACCACATCCTCAGCTGCTATTCCGGATATCACCAGATCTTATTCCAGATCTTGAGAAGGATCATGAAACTTCAAAGCTGGAAAGAGATTAGAATGATATAAGGATCTGTGAGACCAGTCAAAGAGTATAGGTTATGCCAGATCAGTAGTAGTTCAAAATAATGAATCAATTTGTCAGAAACAATATTGTATTGAAATGACATTATATTATAAAGATATATATATATAAATATTCAAGAAWAAACTTTTCTTTGCATTAAAGTGGCAGTCAGGAAGTATGATTTGGTAAAAGTACAGCATAGTTTTGTTAAAAGTTCTAAATGGATCTTGGATCTGGCTTTAATAAGTAACATCAAATCATTAGATGACATCTTCATTCAGTAAATACCTACGCAGCACCACTCCAGTAGCATTAAGTGGATACACACTACCTGATTAATTTGGCCCAGATAATTTTCAACATATCCCATTACCCAGACAATTATAATTTTCAAGAAAGGAATATTTGGAGGGTGAATATTTTTTTATTCTAGATTATGATCCCTGGTTGCCATATGAAGCTCTAAGTCACTAACCATTTCTACATGCTATTCTCAGAGCACTAGTTAAGCAAAGGTGACTGAGTGCAATGATCTTTGCTGAGATGACTGGAACAGGACTGGTTCTAAGCCTCATCTTCATAACTGATTGTAAAGAATGTGCTCTATTTCCCCTGAACTCCACAACTCATGCAAGGAAAAAAGTCTATTAAGAGGAAGACATGAAGCAAGAAAAATGTAGTTCTAGACAAGWCTTAATAAAGAGACAGCATTGTGTTTCAGATKACTTGTATTATGGACAGAGTAGCCTCTTTGCATCTCCCAGACTATTCCTAATGTCTTTCCTCTTTGTCTACAGTGTGGCTTTACCTCTGCATCTTTTCCTCCCCGAGCTGGACTGACCTTTGTAGGGTTTGCTTCCTTGGTTTGTTTGACTGTACTGGCAATATGGGAGTTTGTATGCCTTCTCTCCTCTCACTAGCTCTTTTTAATTTATATACTTACTATATTTCTCAGTTGTACCCTAACCTCTCAATTTTTAAAATGAGCTTTTCTTGTTCCCAGTATGAGACAAAATAGTCTAACATCAGAAATCATAACCAGAATAAATTCACAAATGGTTTCCCAGACTTGTAAGATTTAGACTCCCCTGTCTATAGGGGAAATAAGTATATAGGTATATAGACCCTATCTACACTCATACGTATATATATCTATATCTATATATCCTCTTTAATATTACAGACAGACTTGGCTTAAGCACAAGWCTAATTTTCTAATTATTTCCTTCTTAATTTTTGACAGTGGAACAACCAAGCAGCCTTACAAAGTTATATATCTTAYAAGCTATAGTTTAGAAAGCATTTTTACAATCTGCAGAACATAAGATCTTTATTGAAAAATAAGAAAGTGCAGTAAGTGAAACATCTTATATTACCTTAGAGCTTTCAAAAGTGAATCTGTAAATTTCACAGATATTTAAATATGAACATAGATTCTTTACAGGCCCACATTGTAAATTATTCATTACCCAAGAAAATGGAAAATGTCATTTAAGTGTCAGAGTGATTACACTTTGAGATACAGTGGGTGGGTCCATACTGCTGTGCTAAACTACCCTAGAAAAAAAAAGAATCAAAAAATTATATAATAACACAAAGGATTAAAACATTCTTCAGAAGTGTCAGCACTACTTTGCCTTCACACATGTCAAATGATTTAATGAAATAGAAGTAAAACACAGTATTTCTGTGGTTTCAAAATTTAACACCTGAGAGTACAGCCTGTAAAATTATGGGTTGTAAGGTTAATAAACAAGCAGGTTTGAAGTCTACAAAGTAGTTAACACCAATTTCTGCTGTTACATATTACAGGTCTGTTTCTCCAGTGGCACTGATAGACTAATAAGGATATGGTTTAATGCYGTGTAACCTAGAGACTTGCTTGCAAGAAGCCCAAAGACTCTTACGAAATACAGCCCTGCATTGCTTGTATCACTTTTGTCCTATTTTCAATTTAAAGTTTGATAATAAGAATGGGTGGTRGCATGTACAGGTTCACGGGCCAAAAAAGTGCAAGGGTCACTACTTAAAACTGCTGGGCAGGTTTTTTTAGATGCTGTCACGCAGATACCTTACCGAAAGCTATTGCTGCAAGAACAGAAACAGCAGGGTAACCTGAAACATGAGCCAGCCCATGGGCTGCCTTTACCAAAACATAATGGAAAGTAATCTAAACTAATTATATTTTAACAAACTCTTTGTGTACTATGCCTTGCCCTAGTAGGAATATGGTTACAGAGGCTTGTTAACATAAACACACTTTAAATGACCTGCTGTTTAATCATCAAGCTGATTTGAAATTCTGCCAGGAGACTTCTGTGAAAAGCACAAGCTCCTCTGTTTGATTTTCCAACAGGGTCTCTCAGTTACACTTGTGATCTTTTATTTGAAGAATCAATTAATGATCCTTTTGCTTCTCATCTGCTATGAATCATTTGAAAGCACAGAAGTTCTTTGTGTATCATTCCAAAAGGGGWGTGCTTTGTGTATTTTCAGACAACCGTTCATCCTGCAAATTATTATTTAACTTTACATTTGAAATATAGGATATTTGCATTTAAAGTTTATATACATTTAGATGAGGGCTGCAAAYAGAAATTTAAATTATCTTCCATTAGTGCTCTGTGTGCTGCTTAGAGCAGCCAGCCTATACCTGAGATTCTGCAGATTACGTCAGGATAAGAAACTGATAAAAGAATCAACGCATCTTTGATGCAATCTTGTTTATTTGCAAAAAGGTGTATGTCTAACTTCTCTCAGTACATTAAGAACAAATAACAAAAAGCAATTACTAGTTTCAGAGCAGCCATTTCAGACAGCATTGTATGCTACTGTGACCATTGCACTGGTATTACTTTACACTCAGCTTCTGCTCTGAGACAAAATAAATTGTTTCTCAGGTGGAGAAATATGGACAGAGACTAGAGAATAGCTCACATCGGGGCATGGGCACAACCTATACAAGATCCCAGTAGTTCGGGCTTTTTTTATCCTGCAAAGGATGAGCCCTCATGACTTCACACACCTTTCCAACCCTTTGGGTCATATCCTAATACCCACTTTCCTGCCTGATCACCTTACAAAAACACATGACCAACAAGTTTTAGAACAGGCACCTCATTTACATGCACCTTTGGCAAGATACAGTAAACACCTAAGAGGAGACTAAAAAATTCATCAAGACTTAAAACTGCTACTTTCATGTCTTTTGACCTTGCTGACAGGACTACTCACCAGCTGTAGTAAGAAGAGACTTCAAATTCATCACCAAAGGCTGTTTTCATATAAGATGACAAGTACACTTATACAACTCCAAGGAATTGAAAAAAACCCTGAGAACATGAGGGTGTCAAATATTGTTTCCCAATCTATGCTGAGCTACAGATGTTTAGAAGTTCCACAATTCTCGGGGCTGGGTCCAGATACCAGTTGTTCATCTTGGCCTCTTCTGGCACCAAGACAGCCCAAGGATGTAGGGGAACCTTGCTGCAGGCCACCAGTGTCAGCCTCTCGCATGCCCCTGTGGCAGCACTGGCTAGCTAACAATGCACTTCACACAGCAGCCAAAGTGATACGCATTGGCTGGATAAAAACTCATAGAGTGAGGAAAACCTTTCTTTCGAGTGTTAGGAGAAAAGAAAGTGGAAGTCCATAGGACAAAGTACAGTACAGTACAGTACAGACTTGTACTACTCTGTAACCAAGGCAGCAGGCACAGGTGCTTATTTTGATAAGAACATATGTCACCACCTAGGTTACACCCAGTCATGTCATGCATGGTCACAGGGCTAATGGGGTGCTCTTTCCTGCCAAGGAAGGTAAGCAGGTAAGTGATTTTCTGCTACTTACGCACCATAAAAATGGAATCATGCTTTCCAAAAAACGTGCCATGATCCTGCTGTCAGGTCATACCTCCAGGATTACACCATTCCTTTTGCGTTCACATGTCTGCCAGAGGTGCTGAGCCACTGCACCCACCACTGCTCACCAAGCAACTCTCCTCAGCTATGGTCACTAAAGCAATGATTGCAGCCCATGCRTTTACACAAAGTTAGTGTCCTTGAGATGTGGGTGCTCAGCAGGCTGTGTCTGTGGAACCTCCAGGGAATTGTACCTCTCCAAACACTACCAAGAACAAACATCTCTGCCTCCACACATGCTGTGATGAAGAGATACTAACTTTCATTGTTCCACTGATTCCTTCAGCTCTTAGACCAAGAAGTACAGGGATCAGCTCAAAAGGACTAGCATCATTTCCCTGATGAGCCTCCTGGCTTAAGCAGTGCTTTATGGATAATCAAATGGATCTGCAGCAGGATCTCCTAGAATAACTCACCACAACTTTCAAGAGCTTACTCTAGGTAAACTGCTCTTAGCAACAGTACTACATGACAGCAAATGGTCTGCATTTGGACTGCTGTTTTGTCCTGGAGCAGCCACACTACCCCCTAATAAATGTTAATTTACATCAAGGATACCTGGATAACTTCTTTCTGCAGCATCCATTCTAACTTGAAAGGCTGTATAAATTATGACTGCATTACTATGCTTTCATTAACACATACCTGACAACTGTGTATTATGTAGTGATTATGGATGTCATGATGATCTGGAAACTGCCCTCAATGGCCTGTTCGGTGCAGCCAGACACCTGCAGACACATTTGCACTCTATCTGCAAGACCTCAGGGCGTGTTTCACCAACACTTAGAGCAGTATGATGAAAAGGAATAGCAAGGAGCAGTGCTACCAGTAATCAGACATGCTCTAAGGCTGACAGTACCACAGTCCTTTTGGAGAAGAGAGTGCTGCTGTCCCTAGTGAAGATGCCCAAGCTCTAGAAACCACAGATGTTACACACTTATTTAGTAAACTGCCTCACAGACTCACACACATAAATAATCAATGACAAYCTTCACCATCCCTGAACTTGTGACAAGAACTTGTAGAATGAATGAGTTATAATAGCGAGCAGTCA